TACATAAGTTAAATGACATCATATGATGATAATGGAGATGATGATGATGATGATGATGATGATGATAATAATAATAATTGTTATTATTATACTAAAAATAATAGAAATAAAAAAATAATGATAAAGATAATGATGATAATGATGAAGACAATGCAGTGTTTGCTCCTCGGTGCTATGTTTAGAGAGTGACGTATATTGCATTCCTTGAGAAGGTGTAAAGATCCCCGAAAATAACGCCCGTCTGAAAAATAAATGACAAAAAGGTTTTTGTTAGTACACGTGGCGACATATTTTACTATTATCATCATCAGTGCCTTTCACCCCTGGCAGGGTATAGGCCACATACGAGCTCCTTCCATTTATCTCTGTCCTGGGCCGTCCTTCCTAGCTCGTTCCACGAGAGCTGTATCCCTCTCATCATGTCCCTTTCCACACATCTCTTCCCTGTTTCCCGTTATACTGAGCATGGACTTTTTTGAAAACGGTGAAAAGTTGAAGCGCCTGACGAGACTCTTTATCATACCACAGCGCCCCTACGACCCTCGTGGATTATGAGATCAGTCAGCAGTAAGCAGTAAGCGCGGATTTTTTTAGGGCGGTTCTACCCTGTCCGTACGCCCTGGGGTAATTTTGGACCCCCGGAGTTATATTCTTCACATTTAGAAATCATGTACTTCTAGTACGAAGATCTCTTTGAAACTTTCTGTATTTCTCAAAAACGCATTTTGACAGACTGCTTACAAAGCGTGCGGATCGGATTAACGAGTATACATTTCCTCTTTGGAAAGTGGTGGCACAGAGTTCCCCACGTCGTATGAATACGATAGTGAAACACGTCGGACGGATAGGGTTAAGTGGTGACACAGAGTTCCCCACGTCGTATGGATACGATAGTGAAAAACGTCTGACGGATAGGGTTAAGTGGTGGCACAGAGTTCCCCACGTCGTATGGATACGATAGTAAAACACGACGTACGGATAGGGTTAAGTGGTGGCACAGAGTTCCCCACGTCGTATGGACACGATAGTGAAACACGACGTACGGATAGGGTTAAGTGGTGGCACAGAGTTCCCCACGTCGTATGGATACAATAGTGAAAAACGTCTGACGGATAGGGTTAAAGGAAAACAAAGAGAAAGAATACTCCTTCTTGTCGTATAATAGTGCACAATTTTTCGGATGAGGCATTGGGAGACTTATTCCATGTCGAGTACCAAAGATCTTGTATATCAAGATAGTTCTCTCCTCTCTTTGAGCCAATTTTAAAAAGTGTCCTCAAAATATTTGATGGAGCCCTCTTCTAAAAAGCGCGGACTTCGCAAACAGAGTCACCCTACTTAAGTGGAAAACAATAAAAGTGAAACTAACAAAACTGTGGTATTCCTATTCTTCTTGTGGAAAAACGAAAGAAGGCGTCAAAACAGAGATTACAGCGCCATTTGAAACAATGCACGGACTTCGGCTGACACTTTTTTTGGCTGAGTGAACAATCTTGTTATGTGTACGATCTTTGCGAGTACTTTGTATATCGATACCTTCCAGCTCCAGTACTTTATTCTCTTCTCTCTCCTTCTTCCATGCACGGCTTTGAGAAGTGAGATGAGAATTCATTATAATAAACGTGTTAAGGGAAAAGACTGCAGACCCAAAGCGAATGCATCATCTGCAACGAAAGGAGGAAATCTTTGTATGTGTGTTGAAGATTTCGAAGGTACTGCAACCCTGCCTGTGTTGTGGAGGTTGATAAAAGTATTTGCAATACATGTAATGCTGACACTGTGCGAGGTTAGTAATATCTTGTATCTACTCTATTTTTCCAGTTTTGATGTATTAAGTCACTTTAAATGCACAGATTAAAATTATTGTCCCAACGCGCGAATTGAACTCACGTCTCCTACGAGCGACGTGCAACAAAGCACCTGACAACTACACCACAGACAGTGCGAGTATTGGTATTCTCCACCTTTTCCTGAAAGTTATGAGTTCTGGTTCCTTGTCTTTGAGGCCACAGATTATGTCAAGAGCACAAATCCTTTCTCGTAATCCTTTAACGTTTCCGGGCCGTTTTCCGCCTATGTCGCCGTTTCTTTCTTCTATTTGTAAGACAGCGTGGTGAAATCAGACTCTCGTTAAAATAATAAAAGTGAAGAAACTTGCATTTTTCCGCAGGTTTGTGAATTTTTATCAAGTTTTTGTGTTTTGGCTCAACATCTTTCATGCCCATTAAAGAACTCATTTCTGTGTGGATTTTTCTGAAAAACGTTGATTAAAGGCTCAAAAATTGTAAATTTTTAGTTACCACGGACTCTTTTAAAGCTAAGGTAATAACTAATCTTTGGTGGCCATTTTCTCATTAATTTTACCTCTGAAAACAGGTGACCCCCACCTCCTTCTTTCTCAAATATATCGACTTGTATTCGAGATAAATGGATATTTTTTTCATCCAAAAAAAAAAGACAAGTGAACAAGCTTTAAGGTGATACCAATAACTCTACATGCCCAAAAATCGACGAGAGCCTGATTCCACCAGGCTGCCTCACATTTGTGTTTTTAGCAATAGATAATCCGCTTCTGACTTGCTAGGCCTGTCACAGTTTCACCAGAGCCCCGTTAGCGCCCCGGGTTCTCCTTCACGGCTGGCGTGACGACTCAGTGGCATAAAGCCACACCGTACTTCGTTGAACCCTGTAGCAATCCCCTACTTTGTCCAGACATTGACACCACAGACACTGGTCACAATGCACGTTTTGCTCACGCTAAGATAGATGTACGACCACCCTGAATAAAGCAGGATTATTTATTCATTAGAAATTGCATTTGAAAGAGACAGAGGGCATGTGTACATTGTCAGCAAGTCTTGGAACGTCGTGTGTATTTTTTTTTCGAAGTGCAAGGAGCCGAAGAGAGGAAGAATTCAGTTTTGTTATTCAATTCAATTCAGATCTATTATTTTGAAATTCAATTTAAATCTATTAATTTGAAATTCAATTTAAATCAATTAATTTTTTGAAATTCTATTTAAATCTATTATTTTGAAATTCAACTTACATCTATTATTTTGAAATTCAATTTATATCTATTATTTTGAAATTCAATTTAAATCTATTATTTTGAACTATTTTTTTGAAATTCAATTTAAATCTATTATTTTGAAATTCAATTTATATCTATTATTCAATTCTATTCCAGATCTATTACGCAATTCAGTTCAAATTTTCACTTGGTTTACCCTCGGACCATCTATTTCAATACGACTCAATGTGAGATAAACTGATTTACGTAACAGGTTAGTTCTTATAGAGATCATGCGGGTGGTTGGCGGGTGCTCTGGTGTGGTTTGCTCCCTCTTTCGTACCAAACATCTATCGTCCTTATTTATCTCTCCTCCTCCTTTTTTTGTGTTTGTCACTCACTCTCTTGTAACGCCTAATCTTAGGCATTTATATCATGACCTTATTGTGTTGCAAGTGCCGTAAAATTAGCTTTTCCTTTCTCCCCCCCCTCCCCCCAACTTTAGTACGGTACCCCTCTCCCTCCTTCCTCCTTTCTCCTTCTCTCTCTGTCTGTCTGTGTGTCTGATTGTCTATCTGTCTGTCTGTCTATCTGTCTGTCTGTCTGTCTGTCTGTCTGCCCCCCCTCTCTCTCCCTCTCTCTCCCCCCCCCTTTTCTCCCTCTCTCTCTCTCCCTCTCTCTCTTCTCCCCCCTCTCTCTCTCTCTCTCTTTCCCTCTCTCTCTCTCCCTCTCTCTCTCCCTCTCTCTCTCTCTCTCTCTCTCTCTCTCTCTCTCTCTCTCTGTGTCTTTCCCTCTCTCTCTCTCTCTCTCCCCCCCCTCTCTCTCCCCCCCCCTCTCTCTCTCTATCTCTGTCTTTCCCTCCCTCTCTCTCTCCCTCTCCCCCTCTCTCTCTCTCTCTCTCTCTCTCTCCCTCTCTCTCTCTCCCTCCCTCCCTCTCTCTCTCTCTCTCTCTCTCTCTCTCTCTCTCTCTCTCTCTCTTTCTCTCTCCACTAGTCTCTGACACGATTCCCCTAAAAGGTTAGGCAGTAGAATGAGACGCGCAGACATACGTTTTCCTTTTCGTTGGTTAATTCAGGGCTCGGGAAAAATTGGTAGGGGGAGGGGGGAGGAAAAAGAATGTGAAGGCGAAGCAAGAGACCAAGAGTGTGTGTGGGGAAGGGGGAAGGCGCGCGCGCGCGTATGTGTGTGTG